GGCTCGGAGCGGCCTTTGGGTAGGGCTCTCGTCTGCTTGAGTTTTCGTGGCTGAGCAATGATCCAGACTCAGGCCGATCACGTGGGTTTTGAAGGAGCTGCTGGATAGACCTGGCTGCATCGGGTTTACTGAGCGGGCTAAAACCAGGCGTGTTCTCCGCAGGGAGGAGCTCAAGCACGCGTGTCTCACCCACCCATCCCTACACCTTTGTGGGCTTTTGAAGGGACTGGAAGAGGCTTGGTGCCCCCTTGAGTTAAACCGCAGTTCAAATAAAATCCTTGCTGCTTCTCAGGGCAGGAAGTTTTGGTTATTTCTCCAGGAAGCAGGGTGGGACAGAGCACAGGTTGTGCCTGTTGCTCAAAAAGGGTTTGAGCAGGCAGTAAACAGCCCACAGATGGGAACAGGCCCAATTGGGCGGTCACATGTGAAGCAGGAGGCCACCTGATTGATGGAGAGGCCTGGGAGCCTGGGTAGAAGGCTAGGGCCCAGGGCAGAGCAAGCAGTTGGTGCAGGGGGCCGAAGGAGCAACATCCTCAAGCCGCCTGCTCCCAGAACACGTGGCGGTCCGGGCAGGAACTACAGGGAAGGTGGAGGTTCCTGGTCGCGGGGCATGGCCTAAAACTACACCCTGCTGGGGAGGATGGTGTGGTGGGACTGATTGCAGCAGGGCAGCTTCCAGGAAGGGTGAGTAGGGGTGCCAGAAAATCTCAGCCCCTACTGCCTTGCAGGTACCCCATGGAGGGGAAAAGCTAGGGGAGCAAACCCCAAGAACAAGGCCCAGTGTGTGGAGCCTGAGGCAGGGTCCAGGCCATCTGGAGAGGGCCCGAGACAGGGCCCAGGTACACTAAGTGGGACCTGGGGCTCACAAAGGAGCCAGACGTGAGGCTCCGAGGGGTGGGATTGAGAGCCCCAAGAAGGAGCCAGGTGTGAGGCATGGGATTGAGGCCCCGGTGTGGGGAATGAGGGGACCCACAGGGTCCAGAGGCAGGCAGGGAGCCTGAGAGAAAGGGAGGGGCTGGGAGCCCTGAGTGGGTGTGAACAGAGACCCCAGTATGGGTGGTATGATTGAGAGTCCAGTGTGGGGCACAGGGATTTCTAGGCCAGGTGAAGCTGAGTGATGGCCCAGCTAAGGGGCCGGCAGGTACTGATATGGCCCAGATAAGGGGCTTGGGTGTAATCATGTATATGGATGCCAGCTGTGAGGCATGGGATAAGTGGAGGTTTGGAGTCGTGTACATGCCCCTGGCATCAAGGCAATTAAATGGGCAGTCTCCCACATGGGAGCAACATAATTATACATCTAAGGTGAGGCAGGTGGACGGTTTTCCCCAGACAAGTGGGCAGGCCAACACTTAGACTGGCCCCAGGGGCCCCACTTGTTACACATGGCTATGGGCTCAAGGACAGGCTGCCTTCTCCTGGTCTCTGCTGGGGCCTGTCTCCTCCATCAGAGGAACCCTGGCACAAAGGTAACTCAACTGCATGAAGGGAACACAGCTTCTTCAGGGCCGATCCAGCCTGGGGAAAGGCAAGGAGGGAACAAGCACTGTGGCTGATCTCCAGCAGAAGAAGCCTGAACAATGACAGCCATGCAGCACCCACCGGGGCCATGCAGCCTGCCTATATGTGTGCTTGTACACTAGTTCTCTTATGAAGGGATGATCCGTTCCACGCTCGTGAATGGAGTGGGATGTGGAAGCAAGGTGGATCACAGGGCACTTCATGAGAAAGGGCCACACACAGTGCCCAGTGAGTCTTCAGCTCAAACGTCTGCCCTGGGCTCTCGTCTCAGCAATGGCTCAGGTAGGGTGGCCGCTGACCCACCCCCAAATGCAGGACATTCCCCTGGTCAGGGGGAGATGGGGACCACCATCCCCCTTGGCCAAGCAGTAGTAAGGGGTGGGGCTGCTGCCTCCTTGGCCAATCGCAAGTGAGGAGTGGGGCCACCGGGTCTCTTAGCCAATCAACACCAAAGGGCAGGGCCACCACCCTCCCCACTTTCCCCTCTCCCCAATTGGCTGGGTTGGAGCCCTGCTTCTCCTGGGTGTGCACCGCCCTACCTCTAGGCACAGCCAATAGCATTGCCAGGACAAATGATCAGCGTGTGTTTCCACCAATGAACTGAAAACCAGGACTTTTTGCAGCCTGGTCCTCCATTAGAAATGGACAGGGGACAAAGGGTTTAAAAAGAGGACCAGTGGCTACCTTGAGCATGTATACGTGTGCTCTGGGAGTAGGGGGTGTGCTCTAATTAGAGTGGCTCCCAAAGCTGCTCTAATGAACATGCCCAGAGCATCTTGTGTATCAGCATCCCTGCACTGAAAAATGGCATTGGGGCACTTTAGCTAAAGCTCAGTGAATGCGGGGATGCTGATACACATGACGCTGGACCATGCTCCAGCAGACTTGATTAACTGAGTCTGCTCTGATGTACTGTATATACAGCATGTTGGAGCAGCCTCACTGCTGGCGTGTAGGCACCCCCTAAGTCCAGGCACGCTTAATGAGGTTGAAGAGAGCAGCCTGGAGGAGGCTGGCTGAACCCAGTGCAGCTCATGACACATTTTTATGTAATTCCCATATTTTCTCACAGCTAACATGCATCGTTCCACCCCAAAGCCAGCTGGTGGAAATTGGGATGTGCATTGTATGCAAAAAAAAATATGAATCCTATGGGTCCAGAAATGTTGTGGCAGTGGAGTGGTGGCAGCATCAATTGCCATGTCATTGGGAGCCACGGTAATCAATGCTGCCACTATGCTCTCATCTCCAAATTTCCAGACCTGTGGGGAGCCCCGGGCCAGATTGGGAGCCCCCTGTCAAGGACAGTGTATCTTGTGAGATTCTCCCTCCAGATGTGCAAGCGTGATCCCAAACTGTAGGTGGTTTATCTGTACCCTGAAATACCGAGCGTTCAAATGTACACATCTCTGACAGCGGCCCTTTATCCTGTTGGACCAACTCAAATGTCCCCAAGATGTTGACTTTTACAGGAGGGGTCTAACAGCAGGATGCAAACACCCTTCACCATCCACACTCAGAAAGAGCGCTGTTTCTATAAGTGCTTCCGAAACACTCAGAAAACGGCCCCCTGTGTCACTCCATGCCCTGGTGATTTTAAGGAAAAGGAGAATATGACCAAAGTATTGTAACACTGATACAGCGCCATCTCTTATTAGAAGGGCAATGAAGAGAGAGTGAAAGATGAGCAAAGGAAATGACTGAAAGCCAAGGGAACATGTTAAAGCTTGTGCTCGGTAACAAGAGATTTTGTTGTTCAGCTGAAGATGTTGCCCATACGTGCATGGTTAGCACTGCTTCAGGAATGCGTTAGATCTCTGTTCAGGCAAGACTATTACATTTCTCCCCTCCTCCCCCCAAACGGTTTTGTTTTGGGTTGAATTCATTTTTTTTTTTTTTTTTAACTATTGTTGCAGCTGAGTGTACTTAATAATGCGACCTGCTTACTCCAAAGACACCGCTAAGGTCAATGTTGAAGTTTAAATGAGACTGAATTCTGTTTGAGCCAAGTTCCCCAATCATACCTAACATATTGAAAGTTCAAGGTTGGACGTAGTTCAGGAATGCAGTTAAAAATAGTTCCCTCTACTTTAGCAAAGTTGATTAATAACTTCGTTACACCAGACAGCCTATTTTGCAGCCAGGGGAGTGAATTGCATAGAAGAATGACACTGTAGATAGAACCTAATTGATCTAATACTATAAGAATAATTTTCATTCAGGACTGCATCGGGGCGCAGGGTGAGGGCATGGGAAACTAAAAAAGGTTGGGTGGTGGGCAATGTGATTTGTGTCTCCTTAATTGTGTAACTCTACTGTTTTCACCCTCCTCGTCTCTCCCCAGGCCCCCTCTCTTTTTTGTTAGTCTCAGGTCCTGATACAGCTATTAAGCACTTGTTCAAATCCTGTGGATGTAGTGAAGCACAAAGCAGAGCCCCTGTGAGGACAGAGCAGACCTGGGTGAGGTTGAAATGATAATTGGTGTGGCAATAAAATGACATAATTGCCCTAGAAAAAGAAATCTGAATTGTAAATTTCTGGCAACGTAAATCAATTTCCTCCAACTCTTCATTGCCTTAAAAAAAAGCTGGTTTGATGCAACTTTTCCATTATAAATAGAGGGTGCTTATAAGAGCTGCCACTGATGAGTGAGACCATAGGTCCACCTTGCCCAGTCGCCCTTCTCACAGTGGCAGAGAGTGGATGCAGAAAGGGAGAGCAGACAGGGTAGGACCGGAGTGTTTGTTGTTCTGGTGTGGTTTCCTTGCTGTGCTGGGGATGAGTCATTTCCATCTGATGTTTGCCAACTGCTTTTCCCTGGAAAATAAGTATCATGCGGGTGCTCAGTGTTCTTGCCCTTCTGGAAGTCCCATCCCACCTCTCCCTTTCTCCGGTGTCCTGGTGTTTCCCCAGATGTTCCTAACTTTTCAAACCACCAGTTCATTAACAGACTAGATAACCTCAACTAAAGTGTCAAAAGCTTCCCTCTAGCTTGGGTCCCCCAGTCGCACATGACTCCGGATATTAAATGCCATAAATGGGTACAGAGACATTGAGGCTCCTAAATCACCTTGGGCGAGTTCTGTGCCAGACATAAGACAGGCCTAACTTTGGCAGTGCTTTATGCTTTTTGGAGTTTCACCCTCAGTTCGCACCTCCCTTTGACTCTGATGTATTTAGAAATATAGCATTTAACATGCAAACATATCCCATGTAAATTAAATAGCTCCTGCTCAGCCAAGTCTGACCACTCAGCCTGGCAAGATGCCTGCACTTACCTTATGGTGCAGAATATGGAGGGTAGAGAAACAAGTTGTTGGAAAATATCTTTGCACTGGGATCATCCTTTTGGACAGGAAATGTTAGGGCTGAAAGAAACCGACTGTGTCCCTTTAAGAAGAAGAAATGTTGGCAAAACACAGAATGAAGGTTTATGGTTAAGTTAGTCTGAAAATAATTTGCAAATTCTTTGTACTTAATCACTCTATAAAAAGCATATTTATTGCCATCTGAAAAATTCATACATATTTCTAAACGTACACACTCCGTCAGATTTAAAATGAGTGAAAAAAGTAGGGAACCAGAAGCCCAGGCTGAAGAAATTCTACCAGCTCCTATTTTCCTTTGGGGAATTCATTAATCTTCTTGCTTCCTTTGCCGGTCTGCAGGCAGCTACTCCTAGAGACAGCCGGTTACGATTCTGCAGCAGGAGGTAACCCAATTCCTAAAGACAGTCTGAAAGTCAGAGCAGCGTGTAGGACAAGGTTACAAGCAGAGCTGTGACGTACCTCAAGGTCAACATGCTGAGTAAAGAGAGAGGTTGCGGCAATCATTTAACAGGCTTGCACCTATCCATGTCCTCAAGTATCACCACTGTGGGAGAACTTCTATACTTAACAGCTCAATTTGACAAGTGATTCACGAATGAATGAATTTCAAGCCCATACAGAGTAGGTGTATGTCAGAAGGGGACTCACCATCTCCGATTAAAAGCGTAGCCGATATCGAAACTGGATATCATGCTTGGGCTGCATCATACCAAAACCCCACCGGCTGTTATCTATGGGAGGGATTTCCTCTTCTCCATTAACCAGCTCCATATCATAGTAAAGCAACATCAAGAACGCAAACAGTTTAATTTCATTGACTGCAAAGAAACGTCCAGGACAGATGGATGTCCCCGCTCCCCAGGGCATAGTAGAGTACTTCAACTTTTTCCCGTTCTTGTAGAAATCCTTCTTGGTACCATCAGGGTTTAGGAACCGGTTGTATTTGAAGGTGAGAGGCTCAGGATGGATTTCGGGGTCCATCTGAACTGCAACATAAGGGAACAGGGCTACCCTGTCTCCTCCGCGGAGGATGTAGTCTTCCCCATTGGCCATCTTGAGATTCATGTCCTCAACAACCGCTCGGATCAGAATAGGGCCGGCTGCCAGGCGCAGCGTCTCCTCCACCGCACTGTCCAGAACTGGGGTCTTCGTCAACATGTCCCTGGTGATGTTAACCGGGGCGCTGCCTGGCTTCACGGCCTGACCAGACTCTTTTAAGACTTGGTCCACTTCTTCCCGCACAGCCTTCATGGCTTCGGGATGTTTCATGAGATACAAGAGAAGCCAGAAAGAAGCTGGGCCTGTATTGCCTTGGGAGGCCCAAAGGAGTAGAAACATGAACCGGTCCCTCATGTACTCGGGGACACCAATCTCTTCCAGCTCCCGTTCTTGGCTGCTTATCCACCCACTAATGTTATCCTTTGTGTAGGTCTTCTTCACAGAAAGCATGTTCCAGAAGAGCTTCTTCAACCTCTCAGCCTCCATTTTATCCTTGGGTGGCAGCACGGCGTAGGCCAGACGAGGGAAGAGACGGTCATACTTGCGAAACTCGTAGAAGATCTCTTCAGAGTGGGTGCGATCATGCTCTTGGGCCTTCTTCTTGCTCACAGTGCCATTGGTTGGCTCATTTCCATACAAAGCCAGGTAGCCAGCCCTAAAGACAATGTTGTAGCTGTAGTGGAAGAGCCCATCTTGGCTCCATGGCCTCCCCTCTACTCCGGCACCCAGGCTATGGAGCAGCACGTTCTGCAAGCTGTCCATCATGGCCTGAGTCATGATGACAAGCCCATCTCCCATCAGGTATTTTGTGCTTGCCAGCTGAATGATTTTGTGGTCTGTTGAGACAGGATGGTATCCAAAAACCCTCCTGACCAGCTCAGATGCAAATTTCTCAAAATCCAGTTTGGATCTGGATTCCTTCACAATGGCCCCAAAAGACAGTGGGTCCATGACAAAAGTGAAGTAGTAGCCTCCAATCAGCACCGTGAAAATGTCCCCGTGCTTTTTCTGCATCTTCTGTAGAAACTCTGAGCTGTTGTTTCTGAAATCTAGTGCGTAGCCCAGCCATGGGATGTAGCCTTTATCCAGGGGAGGCTCTTTGGGTCTTCTCCTGCGAAATGCTCCCAAGAGATGGAGGCCGCCGAGGACCATTGTTAACAGGGTGCAAAGTAGTGCTATCCAGACAGCCATTCTTAGGGATCTGTGCTCCGCCACAAGGGATCCAGCCAGACTGAGGAGAGATGATTACACTGTTGTATTTATAAATTGCCCTTCTCAGGTATCAGATTACAAACCACAGACACGTGGCCTTGCTCTCTGTTTGCCATTCAAATTAACCCTGCAGCTAACAAGCATGCCAGGTCTTACCTTCTGTTTCTGTTCATGCAAAGAGTGCAGATTTTTTTTTAAGGCTAGAAGGGGCCAGTGTGATCAGCGTTGTTATTCAAGCAGGTGGGGACCCTGACCTGCCGAGAGGCAGTGTCCTGCCCACCCTCCCTCCAAAGGCCAGCAGAAGCAGAAACGCTCCTTCAAAGCCCCTCTTGAGGACTGTCCATGAGGTAGTGTTTGCTAGAAGTGACCTGATTTCCCAAAGAGCTGGGTGCTTTGTGGTAACTGCTGGAGGCTGCTGGCTGTGTTTGGGATCCTGGACTTGGGATCCTAACCTAGCTATGGGGCCAACCACGTGGTGGTGGATCTCACTGGAGTCCTTTAGCCTACAGGGGATTATGCAGGTACCCACCCATTGAGGAGTTGGCCCAGTGCCTGCACTGTATGTTGCTGTAAGGATTTGCCAGTGCACATACCTAAAAGACCACACTCTTAGCTATAGAGCAACACTGCTCCCAGGAAGCTGCACCGTTTCCTAATTTCATAGAATTTATGAACAACAGCGTGGGCAGCACCTTTTCATAGGGTGTGCACCGCCACGCTCAGGGGGTGCACGTGCACCCACATGCACCCCCTACGCATCGCCAATGATAGAAAATGAGGGTTGAAGGGACCTCAGGAGGTCACATGTAGTCCACCCACCTGCTCCAAGCAGGACCAGCCCCAACTACATCATTTCCTGCCAGCTGAGGACTGATGAAGGGTACCTAAACTGTAAGGTCATAGCAGGTGGGACTCCTACTCTCTCTACAGTGTCCAATGTATGGGGACCCCTTCTTCACTGGAGCCCCCATAAGAGAAGCTACTTCTGTATTGGTTTGAAATAAGAACATGTTTTGAAGTTGCAGATGCTATTTTTTGCTAATGATTCCCTTTCTGTTACCTCCACTTTCCCTTCCCCTCTCCCTCCACCCTCCCCTGGCACCACACTCCCACTACCATGCATTTTCCTGGTTTTAATTCTCTACTTTCTCTGCCTCTCGACTTCACAATGTCAGCTTCAAGCAGGGGTGGGCAAAATGTGGCTTGCAGGCCAGATGCGGCCCACCAGGCCATTATATCCGGCTTGTGGGGCCCCTAAAAAATTTAAAAAATTAATATTGATCTGCCCCTGGCTGCCTGTCATGTGACTCTTAATGGCTTGCCAAAACTCAGTAAGAGGCCCTCCGCCTGAAATAATTGCTACCCCTGGCTTAGACCCTGTTTCTGTTTGCAACTGAGTTGTTTTTTGACCTACATTGTTTGCAACTCAGAACAGAAAGGCCAGTCCTTGAAAGAGCCCCAGGGAGGCAAACATCTACTTTATTTGCTGTGTGTGGCATTTCTTCTCTCCTAAACACCTGTGTTTGTGAAACCACCCATGCACAGTAAGCATTGTCCTCACCGTCCTCTTCAACTCTTTGATCTCTCCTTTTACTTCTTTTCCCAACACCTTGTTTTCAGTTCCTCATCTCCCCTTTCTCCTGCCCTTGTGTTTCTGTCTCTCTTTCCTTCCTCCTGTCTTTCCTTTCACATTCTGCCTCTCACCTGTTTCCAACCACAACCCTCTCCTGGTACCAGCTCTCCCCTCCCACAACACAAAGCAGGTCCCACTCCATCTCTCCTCTGTGACCTATTAGCAGGACTCCAGCCCCCCAAGACACCTGCCTGGGGAGCATCTCGGTACCTTTAGCTTCTCAAAGCCCATGCTGGGCATGGAGCATTTCTTCCCCTTCGTCCTCCTGCATGCCTTGTAGCAGACAGCAGGCAGCCTTTGTGCAAAGCTGTCTCCTCTTCCTTGTTTGAGCAATAATCCAGTTAGAAGTTAATAACATGAATTTGGCAGAAGTTGCTGAGTTAGTTGTTCTCAGAAGTGTGTTCTCCCCAGGAAGGAGTCCAGGCAAGCATGTCTCACCCACTCATCCCTACACCCTGACCTCTGATCACGCGTGTGGCTCTTCTCTCAA